TTGGGGTTAGTATTTCAAATAATATTACCTTACTCACTGAAATTTGTGAGGGAGAAAGAGCTGAGTGCATAAAATTTTTCTCATTTATTTCTTGTCCACGTCACAGAGACAATGAGAGTAAGTAGAGAGAAAAGACTTCACCTATGAAAGTCAAATAAAAAGTTAAAATTGTATGACTGAGGAATTGTTACTAATGCTGTTTCACTTTTTGGCCTCTCTGACTTGTTAGATTTCACCATCAGAGGGTTCCTCTTGTTATTCTTGTATGTGGTACGGCATCTGTTGGGAAGTCTACTATTGCTACTCAACTCGCACAAAGACTAAACCTGCCAAATGTGTTACAGGTAATCAAACATTTTCCATCAGTGAACTATTAACTTTTGTTTCAGATTTATGCTCATTCCTTTATTTTCTGATGTTTCAGACCGACATGGTTTATGAGTTACTACGCACGTCAACAGAGTATGTTACGTTCTTGAACCTTGATTTTGTTAAATATCTGACGTTCAGATTAATTTAGTTCGCAATAGATGATTCACATTGTTAAACAACCTGTTGCATGTTGGTTTTCCATTATCTGTAACAGCATTTACAATTTTCAGTAGATTTGATTTCAGTTCAAGAATGCATGTAATTCAGTGAGCAACATGTGAAAGTTTTTTCAGAATTTCTACATAGTTTTTTGAAAATTATGGAGCAGCTTGGGCCATGATTAAATCTGAGATAACTAGGCATATGGCTGTTGTTTTTTCACTGCTGTTGAAGCATTCTGTTGAGGAGCTATTTTAGCACCATGCGTAATCGCTATGATCTGAATACTAGATAACCTTCAGCATTTTGGATCTTTTGTCTAATTACAAAATGCATTAACCTAAACTTGTCTTTTTGGCTCAGATTCCTTACTTTACAAATAGATGCATGCCCTTTTTCTCACTGAGTGACTATTTTTTTAGCATTCCATCTCCTTAACTTTGCCACTCTATGAGATCTAATTATTTGTGGTTCCTCTTAATGTCATTGAATTACTTGTGCAAATTTGACATTGTCTCAGTGCACCATTGGCATCTTCCCATGTTTGGGCACGAGATTTCAGCTCCTCCGAGGAACTTATAACTGAGTTTTGTAGAGAGTGCAGAGTAGTTCAGAAAGGTAACTCGACAAGTACCTGCATAATTTACTATTTTAAAATAAAATGACCCATTTGATCTTATCAGCGTTGCCATGTAGGTTTGGCTGGTGACTTGAGGAAAGCAATGAAAGATGGTAAACCAATTATTATTGAGGTAATTGTTCCATGCTGAAACTAAATTATGTCTTTTATGCTTTAACATTGCCAGTTCCTATGTGTTTCCTTGGGATTTTTTTAGATTTACCCTCTTTTTAGGTTATTTGGAAACAAAGTTCTATTTTACACTTTGATGTTCAATGTGAAAATCAGCAAGTGTATGATGTATTAATGGATGCACATTATCTAAATCTATTACAAGACAGAATGAATTGCCTTAGACAGATGAATGTAGGCATCTTAGCTGAGCTGAGATACTTGTTTGGCCTTTCAGAAATCCTTTTGGCTTCAGAATTTGGCATGGAAGAGAAGTTGAAGGATCTTATGGCTGCCAATTTGAGAAGGAATTTTTTCCAAGGTTTAGGTGGGACCTGGGAGTAATCAACCCTAAGCTATTACAAGAAGGATGCCACTGCATTTCCTTTTACCCCCTTTATCAGCACAGCAGTGTTCATCACTAAATCAAGTTGTAACAATTAAAAAGTACAAGTTTCACTTCAGCCTCAACTTCATGAGGCAATTGGTGTAATTCATTGAAGATTTTTGAATTGGTGATTTGGCAGAACTATTGGAGAAAATTTTGATTGAGGAAATAGCATGCTGCAGCGACGGGTGAAAAAGAGTAGAAAACTTGTTTTGGTTACTTTAGCATCATGTTGTACAGTAATGCTGGCTGTGTCATTTTCTTGTAATAAGTTAGGAGAACAGCATGAAAAGTGGTTGTGCTAAGTTTTGATATGCTGTCGATTAATCTGTTGGGAAAATCATTAAATGTTTGGTTTGTATTTTCTTGCACGTGGTTTAGCTAACATTCAATGTTTGTAAAAACGCAGGGAATGCATTTGGATCCTAGCATATACCTCATGGATGATGACAATAAGTTGTTAAATCAGATGCCAACAAAAGATGAAGAGTCAAAGCCTTCGAAGGGAGACTGCAAAGATGGAATAAAAACTGTCAGCAATTCTACAGTATCACAAGACAGTCAGGAAGAAAATAAGTACTCCTGTCCTGAGAATGTAACCTTGGGGGAAGAAACGTCTGCTGATCAGCTGATTAAAGTTTCAGGACTTATCAAAGCTTTGGATATTCTTGGAATTAATCCTGAGAAGAAAGGTTATTCTTTGTTGCTGTTTGGAACGTATTTATCACTTTATTTCCCCCATAGAATTTGAGCATCTCCTTTTCTCTTTATGCAGTTGAGACCATTAAGGATCCGGCAGATGATAGAAAAGAAAAATCTGGTCCACGGCCAATTATCATTCCAATAGTCCTAAAGATGGCTGACTTTGATCACAAGGTGTGGAAAATTTCCTTCTTATTTTTGCATGTTCCATGATGAGAAATTAATTTATTGAAGGAAAAGATTTGATTGTCCTAAAACTTTGGATTTTTGGAGTAATAAAACATGTTGGACAAGCTTCCTTTTATTCTTCACCTGTTGTACTGTTTTGCAATATCTTCTATTTGTTTAAAAAAGTATGTACTGAAAATATTTCAAGTTCTTGAGAGGTGTGATTGTGTTATAGTAATTTTTTCCCTCTCTAGTACTACTGTATCAAGTACTGACGAAGATTTTTTTCCTTTTTACTAGGCCTTACTGGAGGAGTGGATATGCACTCGGACAAGTAATGGGAAATGCCAAATTCAGGTTTCAAATTCGTACCAACCCTTCTCAGCTAAGAAGAGTTATTTTATACATATGCTATATTATTAACTCTCTAGATTTCCTTCTGTTGACCTGGATTTCCTTTTGGCCATGCCAGTCTACAGTGACTTTTTTTTTTTCTTTTTTTTGGGGCGACTGACTTTCATTTTATACCTAATCCAGGATAAAGATAAGCTGATTAGCAACTTGAAAACAATTCAGGACTATCTATGTTCATTTAAGTCATTGGTGAGCTCATTCCCTTTCTGTCTTGTTTGGTTTTCATATCCATCTGTTTGGATGTAAAACAAATTACCTGTTGTCATGCAGCAGTAAGAATGGTACAGAATGGTGTATTTGTTCTGCAATTTGCTCATGTATTCACAAAAAAGAATGTGCATGTTTGTTGATTTCTACTAGTTTCTCGATGTCTTGTAATCCAACTATGATAATATTCATATTCTTTCTCATCTCTGTCCACCCTTCTCCCTCCTCGTTATCAGGGTTTGACAGTTGTCAACATATCAGCAACAACATTTCCGCAAACACTTGATTGGCTGCACAATTATCTTCTTCAGGTTTGTAGTTTAATCAATAATACCAATCTTTTTTTGCATGTTTTAAGCAGATAATACGTGTTGTTTCATTCACTGGTTAATTTCAATAGCTTTTGAAGCTATATTGGTGGGTTCTGTTGGATGATACTAGAGCTATATCAAAGACCAAAAGGTCATTGGCTTTTTAAGTACTTTTCAGAAGCTGGAAGATAGAATCTTATGCCGCCATGATTTTCCATCCCTCTTATAAATTCAAGCCAGAAACCGAACTTTACTGCATATTTGTAGTGAAAATCTGTTTAGCTTCAAATTGTTGCTTCTTTGGATGGTTGTTTGGGAGTGCGACAGTGGCCAAGTGGGCATCATTATCCCTTGATTTTTTTTTCATCCCCTCCGAAACCTTAGTGCTCTTTGAAGAACACGAGTATTATTTTTCTGGTGGATCCACTGCATCTCTTCCATTGTTGTTGAGCATTTTCCGTTGCTTTAGGCTATACTGTTAACTTTTGGAAGTTCTCTTATTGCATGACTGACTATTCATCTTGTACAATCCTAAATGTGGTAGAAACATCCGACGGAGATATAGAGAAAAAATCACACAAACAGTATCCATAGTGATCATTTTGCTTGTGATTAATTTATTCTGAATATATTCCTTTCCTTTTTCTGCTTTGAACAGTGCATTGAGCAAGGCATATCTACGAGTAGCAGTGGAGAGGCTTCTGGAAATTAAACTGTAAAGTTCGAGCATGACCAAATAACAAATGGTATGCTTTGATATCTCTAATATATATATATATTTTACATTGTTTATTGGACAAGTTACACACACACACACACACACACAGAGGCTTGTGAACTTTGATGATAATTGAAGGCAATTTTTCTGACTGCGCATCTGACTGTGGTTGAGTTGAGCAGTCTTATTTTGAATGGGCTCTGTTAAGGCAATTTCTGTAACTTTGCATTCATTTATTTCGGGCACGTGAACTGAATTTATCTAATGTTGCAGTTTTTCCCTATTATCTTGCAACATGGCTTGTGCTTGTTGGTTTGTATAACCCTTTATTTCTGTTCCTAAGACAAAGTTTTTTAAATTTCCATTCATGACAAGTTCATAATTTCATCGGACATTTAAGGAAAAGTGTGATCTTTGTGTTATCAGGGACTTTTATGCACAAATGCTGGTCAAGACTGAACCCGTGAACAAAGCTGCTCAAAAGCATGGAGATCTATCTGCCGAGAGATATTGAGGATTCAAATGGATAAATTGAAAAATTCTTCTGTTTAATTTGTAAATCATGGGAAGTATTTGTATGCTGCCCCAAAAATTTTGCTGTAATTGAAGATTTGTAATAGAATGGATCATCCAAACTCCATATATGACCATTGATCCATGTCCATAATAATAGTTCTTTCCAACTTTTCTTGGCTTGTTTTTCTCTCCTAAGCTTATTGCCGTCGAAACAGTGACTTCATGAATCACTTTTGCTGCTTAATCAACGTAATTTAGCGAATGGATGTAGCTTTCCAAACTTGAAACACTTGGTCCTCTTCTTTCTTAATTTTTGGTGAATTATATCACAATTCCCAGGAAGTACATTCTTGGGGGTGGATTCTAGTCAATTTGATCTCTTATTCACACAGAATCGGATCCATATTTTCCCTTTATGGGAACAACTTGCTTTTATAAATTATGTAGTCGTGCTTCGAAAGGTATTAGGAATTTCTCAAGGGTTTCACGGAATATCCGATCAGATGACAGCTAAAGAGAAACAAAATCCTCAAATCTCATCATCCCACAGATCTTGAATGGTCCTATAGGGGCTGGTTGTTTCATTGGTGAAAAAATCCCCCCTCATGATCTTCCATTCTTCCATCTTCTGAATTTTGAGAGTATCAGAGTCGTCCAATGCCAAATGAAGGGCTCCTATGTTCTCCTTCATTCTCCTCTGATTGAAGCTCTTCACGATTACACTAGATCCTTTTGACATGCCCCATGCTAAAGCAACCTGTCAATTGTCAAATACAAGCGAACGATCCCTTTTAATTTTGATCATCATTCTCCAAAGTCAACTTGAGAAAGAAAAAAAATCCCCGAAATCTAGCGCTCGCTTAAAGAAGGGCCAAGGGTCACCTGAGCTGGTGTTGCTTTGTGTTTTAGGGCAACAGATTTTAGGATGGGATGATCCACCACGGCCGTTGATCCCCAGCAATTTCCAGGTGCCCCAAGAGGGGAATATGCACTGACATGGATGTTGTGTTTCCTGCAAACCTCCCTTAGCTTTCTTTGCCTCCACATCGGATGCATCTCCACCTGTTCTCCCGACAACAAAAAATCAATAATAATGCATTAGATATTCGATTGTCGATTCTTTGGGTTATAAAAGTACTTGCATTCTTCAGTTCCTGTTTTCATATCCCCATGCATGCACAAAAATTGTAGAAGCCCAGCTCGAGTGGTAGAAGCAAATACCTGATTGACAGCAGGAGGCACAGTGGCAAAATCCAAAAGTTGCTGAACCTTCCTGCTGGAGAAATTGCTGACCCCTATACACCTACACAAACCCATTGCTAGGCATTTCTCCATTCCCAACCAAGTGCTCTGCAGGTCTAGTATATCGAAATCCTCTTCGCCGGGAACTGGATTAAGAACTCCAGGCTTCAACTTCACCGGCCAATGGACCAAGTATAGGTCCACATATTCCAACCCGAGCTTCCTGAATTAATGCAGATTAAAATTGACGTCAGTACCACTCGCAAAATTGGAGCAATTCTAAGCTAGTCTGGCCTTTGTCGTAGTCCTAGCTAGTCCAATTTAGTTGCAACCATGAAATAACGCGATGCTGTAGCAGATTTGCATTGTTGCATGCGTCAGTTGTCGTATAATCACATACAGCCGAAGCCAGCTTCAACTATAACTATATTGTAGGAGTAACCCACAAAATCCCGGTCTTTTGATGTGAAGACTAGTATGGATTTCTGACAAACTTAGCACTTATGAGTGCTCGTTGTGCATGACCGCCATGCATGAGTTGATTGAGAATAGAAGGAAATAATGAGTCCATGAATAACAGTTACTTACTGGAGAGTTTCCTCAAGTGCAGAGACGGGATCATGGTGATCACTGCTCCATAGTTTAGATGTAACAAAGACGTCTTCTCTCTGAATCATCCCATCAGAAATTGCACTCCTCAATGCATTTCCTAAAGCAGGCTCCGAGCCATATATCTTAGCAGTATCAAAGTGCCTGTACCCCATCTGCGTGCCAGTAGAAGAGCATGTTTCAGTCATCAAAAAAACACTGAGATATCAATCAAGTGCTAATTCTTTCAGTAACTTCTACATCCAATACATGAAATCAAGGTTAGTTTTGATGATAGTGCAGGATTGCACAATAAATAAAACTGCATCAGAGATAATCGAAATTTGTACCTGGAGTGCCATTCGGACCGCTTGTTGAGTAGTCTCTGAATCATTTTCAGAGGAATAAGTGCCCAAACCAACCACTGGCATCCATACGCCATTATTCAATCTCACCTGCCTCATGTAAATGTTTCTCATTTTTTCTTTTTGCTTTGCCCTCTCAGTTGGTTTTCTCCTCTCCACTGATCACTTCCAGTACTAGTACAATGCATGAAGTTGCTTTGACTTCCCAGAGGTTTATATAGACGGCAGTCATGCATAAAAGTCAAACCTTGATGACGTAGTATTTCTTTATACAATTAAGACACCGAAGCAAGTAGCATTTGTAAAAATTAGACTGTAATCTTACAAAGAAATGATAATTAATGACCCGAGGGAGTACATGGTAAAACTATATCAAGGTGGAGGCTGGAAAGATCCATTACAAAGTATCAACCCCGTTCCAAACTATTCTTTCATTAAACGAAGAAGAGCTGTCCCCTAAATCTTGTTAAACATGCACTACCAATACAGCATGTATACATGGGTTCAAGTTATGGAAAGAATTTATGTCAGGTCCGGAGAAACTACTAGCCATGCATGGCAAATAGGAGTTGGGATCCTCTATGCCACTATTCGGTGTCAAATCTAGTACCAATCACACTTATCACGTGATGGTAGAAAAAATTTAAATAAATAGCACATGATAAATTAAATAAACAGGACACTTGGCATAAATATAGAAGTGGCATTGAATTGTCACTGGAAAAGTGGCACTGAGGATCCCGTGTGGGCAAATAGTTGCCCCAAAATCATTCGATATGTTTTTCCATCATACATAATTACAATAATGTAATCCAACTCTCAATTCTAATTTAACTAATAGGACATTAGACAAGCAACAATAAAGTTTTACGTTCACTTTTCAACCTTCCATATTTGTTTGGATTGCATTTTTCTAAATTTTTTGTAGAAAAATTAATGTAACGATTTGATATATCTGAGGTAAAAAAGTGATTTGAAAAATATGTTCACGAAAAATATAACAGAAAAATTGCAATCCAAACGCATACAGTCCAACATGTGTAAATCAAGTTAACAAGCCATTTTCAAGAAATGAATACCACCTAGCTATATGCATCATTTATGGAGTTGGGAACTATGAAGTAGTCATGAGATGGTCGAATTTTCATTTTTACCACGTATAGAATAATTTAGACTGTAGGCATCAATGGCCGACTAATTGCCTACCACCACCTCCCACCAGATTTTTCATCAGTTGTTGCCAGGCCCATCATATGCGGAGGAGGAAACCCACTGCAGGCATGATGACCAGGTGGCCTTGCTTCAACAAAATCCTTCTTTAATTACTAATGCTCTAAGCTAGAATCCTTCCTATTTTATTATGCATTGTCAACGTCTCAAGTCCAAGTGTCCAAACTACCCAATAAGTTTGTGTTATGTAATTACGTTGCAGAACTGGAGGGTGGGTGCTGTGGCGACACATAGAAGCCTAATAAAGTCAAATAGTTGACTTCCAGCTTCGGGGAAGATCAGGGGAAAGCCGTCATTGTCAGAGAAACACTAATTAGTAGAATGGACCACACAGATCGATCATCAAAGTCAATGCTACGTGCTCAAGTTCTAAAAGACAATCAAAACCTTGGAAAAGAAATTGCAAAATCAATTCTGATATCAACCGAGGCCTTCTTCTTCTTCCCATTTTTTTTTTTTCCTTTTCGGCTTAATTGGTTAAACATTTTTGTAACTGCATGTTAAATTTGCGAAGGAAACTGGATATTAAGTCGCAATTTGGGGCAACTCATGAATAGAACATAGACCATGATGATCATGAATATGCGAACTTGTAAGGAAAGACATATTGGTGCTTTAACTAATATTCCTTAAAATTTCGAAACCTGAATAGTATATACGTTCAACAGAAAGCCGGTAACAGACACCATAATCGGTTGACAAACGAAAGTCCTAGTTGACTTTGCTCTAAAAGTCAAAGAAATCGTTAGGAAGTCCCCATCTGTATTATCCAAGCATTGTATAGGGTCTCCTCTCCTCCTGCATCATCAGCCATCACGGATTCAGATGTTTTCAACTCATTCCCAAGTAGATACGTTAATGAATGTTGTCAGATCAGCTAATACAAGTCAACACTTAAATTATTAGCACTATCTAGTCCAGTAGCATCTTTTTCCCCCAAGAGGTCAAGGGCGAAATATTCACACAAAAAAAAAAAGAGTAAAATTGGCTAAATTAGTTAAAGCCACTCTCCCCAAAGCAATATTTCAAGGCTATGATGTGGTAAAAAAACAAAAAATAAATGAAACTATTGATCCTCTATAGACACGTGTCAAGGACAAGAGACTCTGTTCGGACTCTACCTCAAGCCCGAACTAAGCGGAGGTAGCTGTCACAGTTGAGAACGGTCAAGTCTTCGGAATAAGACCAGAATCAGAGTTTAAAAAGGATTATGTCTGTAGTAATCTAGTAGGACTCATAAATGGGATAACTACTAGGACTGAACGGATAACTTTGAACTCCTTCATCGCTATTCAGGGGAGGCTTTATAAATAGTGGGCGAACGGATCAAAAAGAGGTATTAAAAAAGAATACAATACATTTATTCTCCACTATTCTATTGTTCTCAGACTGACTTGAGCGTCGAAATCACAACGGGGAGATAGTCTCGCTGTCCGGCTCATTGCAAGTCTTAAGCGTCGGAGTCACAACGGAAAGATAATCCTGCTGTCCGACTCATTGCAAATCAATTCGATTACTCCTGTTCGGATCGTACTCTCGACAGATTCCCCAGCATCCCTTTGCCTTTTTAACCGAGTAAATTAGACAAAAGTACCCCAATTCTTATTAATTTAGTGGCCATTTCATTCGAAGTTGTATTACCACCTCATGCTAAATGGAAATTAATATGTTCAAGCCCATTATGTACCAGTAAATGGAAAAACTATTACCACTCGAGCTTGTACCGGTAAAAAGTTTGAACAAGAAAGTTATTTGCAATATTCAGGTCATTCCAATACATCTCATCTTAAAACATGAAAACAAGACCGTCAATATTCCTGCATATAGGAGGAGATTGTAAACTGCCAAATTTTGAGTTGGCTCTAATTCTGGGATATAACCGGGCGAGTGTTTATGTGTGTGAGAGATTGAATATGGTGAATCTTCCAAATGGGAAATTAGAAAAGCAGTAAGCAAATGAAAAGAGCAAGAGGTGTGGAGCAGTCGTGCTGAAGAGACGCATTTGATTTTGGGCGGCGTTGAGGCGATAATGCGTTTAACTTCTGGGAGACTGGGAGGGATTCAAACGATCTTGTCATGTGATTTCAAGATTTTCGCACGTTCTTTGCAATCCTTTTATATTTTCACCACATCACAACCCCACCCCACCCCAACCGCCTTCTTCATTGATCTTTCCTCTGCATTTCCCTGTACAGCTACTTATTTAAATTTTTACGCTAATACAGCTGTGCTTCCGTCTTCATGATCTCCGAGCTGTTGAATCTTAGTTCTCACATTCATGTCATTATTGACCTTCGGGTAGCAAATATATATATATATATTTTTTTTCTTTTTTCTTTTTTTTTCGTCAAACTTCCAGTTGGACCCAGCAAACACTGGAATCCTAGCATTAAAGAAAGAATTACTGTCTATGTGACTAAAGGGAACTCGATAAGATAAGATAAATCCTACGACCCTAACTTACAGTAAAGATATCTCAATACTGTTAGAGAAAATAGATGTACATAACCTGCCATCGGATCAACAAAGCTATCCCCAAACTATAACCTGCCATGATCAGAAAGTAAAAAATTTAACGAACTAATGAGGTCGGAATACCATAACATATAGTAGGAAATTGATAACTACATCTTGATACGCATGACAATGACTGGTTTAGCCAAATACATTCTGCTGAACCATAATTAACTATCGTGTATACATTGCATCAGTTCTCGATGATATATATTGTAGGTGGAGAACTAAGAATGATATTGACATATTCCATTTCGATCCGAAGGGCTTGCATTTTGGGTAAACTAGACTATTTACATGAATTAACATGATTAATCTCAAAAATACCACTTTGGTCTTAATCCCTCTTCCTTCTCTGTCAATTCCCTGAATTCATACCATCCTGCTCCAGCTTTGCCTACCGGAATTGGAGAACGAACAAAAATCTCAACTGGTTTAGGCACGTGGACTGCCAATACTAACTGCTCACCAATTTTCTCTACGACTTTGTCAGCTGTACTGAGTGACTTATTAAATGGTTCAACTGATATCCATCCCAGCCCTGATATAGCCACATCACAGGCAGGCCTGCAAACAGAGGGGGAATGGGAGATGCAGAGGAGGAGACCCAAGGCATTAGGTTGGTCCAGATTTATGGAAGGACGTTCTAAAAAGATTTATCACATTATTTCAGCATAATAACCCCTACCGGTTAACATCTTCATGTTCTATTTGCAATTCGCGTCTTGTTTCAAGTCCCATCCAGTCGTTTGCCTTCTGTTTTCCGGATGGAGGTATCAGCAAACCTCCAACCTCTTTCTGTAATGAGAGAACGAGAGCCATCATAAAGAAGGAAATTTACACATAAATCAGAATTCAATGCCAATGTGGCCACAGTGGGCAAAAGATGATTTTGTAATGCTATCTCTACAAGTACAGATAGAGAGCACATAGACGAGTTTGACAAGACAGAAAAAGAAAGGACAAGTCATGAATCTAAGTACATCTCATTTAAACTTGAAAATTATTTACCTATTATCAAGAATGAAAGAAGACAACATTTTACTGAACAAATCTCATTGAAAATTATTCAGCTCTTGTTCATGGAAGACCATGTATGCAAGGAATATGTTCTCATGCAAATGAAACCATGTATCACACCATATTATGAAAGACTTGCGAAACAGGAAATTCAATTACCCTATAGAATTCATCAGCTTCTTCGGTAGCAACAATATGAAGCTTCAGTGCTTTGGGTCCATAAAATGTCAAACATGTTTCAGGCAGAACCTGAAAAGGAGAAGAATGATGGCAATTTTAACTGCAAGCAACCACAGCAGGCCAATTAAAGCACAAACATGAGATGAGCGATGGAAGACCTTAATAACATCAATCCTCACAAGTCCTCCCCAAAATATTGAGAAACCATTCAAATCATTTGAT